GACTTTTTGATACTTTTAGCTTCTAGGTAATATTTTTTTAGCATTTAGCTAATGCCTTGTACACATTTGCTACATTTATCTGAACTTTTACTACTTTTAGCCTTTAGCTGATATATTTTAATACTATTAGCTAGAATTTAGCTACTTATAGCTTTTATCTACCATCTTGCTGCCTATAGCATTCAGCTGACTTTTTGATACTTTTAGCTTCTAGATAATACAGTATATAAGCATTTAGCTAACACCTTGTACTCATCTGCTACATTTATCTGAACTTTTACTACTTTTAGCTTTTAGCTGATATTTTGCTACTGTTTGGCTGACTCTTCCCGGCATTTAGCTGTTAGATAGCATCTTGCTGCTTTAGCTGACCTTTTCCTACATTTAGCTGTTAGCATCTTGCTGCTTTAGCTGACCCTTTCCTACATTTAGCTGTTAGATAGCATCTTGCTGTTTTAGCTGACCCTTTCCTACATTTAGCTGTTAGATAGCATCTTGTTGCTTTAGCTGACCTTTTGCTACTTTTAACTTTCCTTTGAACTTTTGTTATTTTATATTTTATGTAATGTTTTGTTACACTAGCTAACCTTTACTACATTTAGCTGACCTTTTACTACTTGTACTTTTTAGCTGATGTTTAGCTACTTGTAGCTTTTAGCTGACATTTAGGACTCGGCATTGAAGGAAATCCTATCACCCACTTGTGTTCGTGATCAGAGTACATGTAGAGGATGACTCTCAGCTACTACCTCATTCAGTTTTAGCTCATGTTCTGTAAAGCTGCTCAGAGCTGCAGCTGTTTTTATGTCGGCTGGTGTTGGTTAGCCGTGGCGGCCATCTTGAACCAGGTTTGTTTAAAATCCGTCCGAACGTCATGAGATTTTCTGCTCACATTTTTACTTTTAAAGAACATAAATAAGATTAATTTCCCTCCAGTGAAACAATAAACCTGAGGAAGTTTAAACTCAGAGTGGTAGTAGCTGAGAGTCAACCTGTCTTTAATGTTTTAATCTTTATGGTTTAGAAACCTCTAAGTCGATATTTTATTGATCCATATAGGATTAATTCTACTTCCTGTTTGGAGTTGACATCGTTAAATGAGACAGAAGTTTAAAGTGTTGTGTTGTTTACAGAACCTCCGGGATATTTTCACGTTTTTGTTGTGTTTTCTCTCAGAAATCCTCCACAGCTTGTTGTGTTTGTTTTTGTTTATGAGCAGACTCTGAGCTGTCGTTGGTGCTGATTCAAGTTTCTGTGAGCTGCTCAGACATTTCTCACTTAGATTTATTATAGATAAATAAAAAATAAAACACAAAACATGTGAATAAACCAACACCTTTGTGTTTTAGTGCAAGTTTATTTGTGTAAATGAGATGTTTTTTTGTTTTCGTGCTGACGCAGTGACCTTTAACCTTTCTGTGAAAACGTTCAGTTTGGTGAGGCGGAGCTGCCAAAAGGCCTCTCTGTGTGTGTGTGTGTGTGTGTGTGTGTGTGTGTGTGTGTGTGTGTGTGTGTGTGNATGGTTATATTTAACTTAATTATGATGAACATTTGTGTAAGTAGAATCAATGTGTGTGTGTGTGTGTGTGTGTGTGTGTGTGTGTGTGTGTGTGTGTGTGTGTGTTTAGCACAGCGTGTGATTGTATCTGAAGGCAGTGTAGAACTGGCTGACTGGATAACCTCGAGGAACTCTCCTCAGACGCGTCTCTCAGTGGGTTTTTGGTCCGACTGATTTCACCTGTTGACCCGGGATCACGGGTTCTGTCAGATCCTGCTACCGTTTATTTTAGAGGTTCTCCTGATTAGAACTGCTGGACCTGAACTAGCATCAGTTTTTACTCAGCACTGTAATAAACCAGCAGGTAAACAGATCAGTAAGGTTTGGTGTGTGTCTAAAAAATCCCAGGAAACGAATCAAATAAAAACATCAGTCTTATTAAAACTGTCAGGAGAGATGAAGTATTTTCAGGTAATTAATCAAACAGAGCTGCGTTTGTTTCTCTGCTCGTTGTTTCAGTGTCTGAGCTGAAGAATTTCTCATTTATTTGAAAGGAACTGACAGTTTCAGAGCAGCTTTTATGATGCTGTTAGCTCTGTGTGTTTGGGTTTTCATGGCTTTAATTTCCCTCTGTTGTTGTGAGGTAAAGGGCCTTTGGGCGTATCTTTGTGTGAAATTCAGCTCAGATTGTGGGAGAATAAATCTGTTAGATGTCAATGTGAGTCCTAACTGTTGTTTTCTGTTGTTTTAAGTAAAAACACTTCAGATTTGTTGGTAATTATTAGATTTTTCTGCTGATATTAAAGTCTGTTGTGGTCATATTAGCTGTATGGATGAAGGAGAGGCTGCAGACTTTTTAAATAAGAATTTAAGAAGCTGAAATTGATGTTTTTATATTTATAGTACTAACTTTTATAACAGAGAGGTTCAGGAAGAATGTTTGATTGAATTTGTGTTTTACTGGACAAAACTTGTCCATCTAATCAAGTCTCTTATATCCAGACTAAAGTATGTTTGATCTTGTTTTGAGACTGATGAAATAGTCTATTTATTTTTGTAATCTGAAGGTTAAATTTGATTGAATTTATTTATTTGAGAAAAATTGGCAGATATAAAAAGATTTTTTCTTCTTCTGCTACCTTTCATTTAATTTATGATTTGTATTTTAGTTGTTTGTTAAATTTATGTTGTTTTTAAAGAAAATGAATAAACTTAACTACCGTATTTATTTAAGTCTAATACGTAAAATTTAATCCATAAAATCATCCATAAAGTTGGGGGGTAGTACTATGCTCGGATAAATATTTTTACTTATGTATTTTAACTGAAATATTGGCTTCATTCACAGTCAGGAAATGACTCTGTGACCACGCCGTAAAAAACAGTTGAAACGAGCTCACCTCTGACTCTCCTCCGTGCTTCAGAGTGAGATAATAATAGATCCAGGCAGGAGACATGATGTGAAAAAAGGGGGAAAAAAGTAGTCCTGCACCTTAGTAATGATAAACTAATGACGTTAGCGTCTGACCGAGCCGCTCCTCGAACAACAACAAACACATGTTCGTCTGTAATGGCTGCCGTCTACCGGTGTTCTGAAAAGGTTTGTATCCCTGAAAAAAAAAACGTTTCCCCACCAGAGGGGGCACTCGCGAGTAGGAAGTAATCTGCTTTCCCCCCACAAGATGGTCCAAATCTCATGTGGTCTCTGACTTTTGTGTTGGCGCCTCCTGGTGGACTATGTGTAAAATGCCAGAATTCATATGATGCTGCTACAGCTGATATATATTTGTTGTCAAAATACCTTTTAGTACATATGTTGTTAAAATAAAATGAACAGTCCAATGATCATTTTACTGATATGTATAAAGACTGCAAAGGATGAAAAATCTTCAAGTCTGTATGAAACTGGAGGTAGTTTGAGGATTAAATTTATTATGCTTTTTGAGCTAAAAAAAAGGTGGGGGGGTATTATACATGAGATAGTATTATACATGAAAAAATACGGTAATTAAGTAACTAACTGACTAACTAAACAAGAGCAGATTGTGTTGGATTATTAATCTCGGTAGCCTGGAAATGTTCTTTATTTCAAGAAGTCTTACCAAACAGATTATTTGACTTAATTTGAGATAATTTAGACCATAATCTAGTTTGACTTACTTTTAGATGGCTAATGTTTGCAGTGTAATATTTTGTTTTTGGTCATTGACATTAACATCTTTGAAATTGTTGCGGGCCACATAAAACACAGTGATGGGCCACATTTTGCCCACGGGCCTTGAGTTTGACCAGGTTGACTAAATAAGACCTGCTGGGTCAACGTGGCCTTAGTGTAACCATCAGCAGGCGTCAGGCTCCGCCTCCTGAGTGATGTCACCGGTCTCACCTCGCAGGCAGCAGCCCTCTGCTCGTCTTTAGTCCTGATTAGATGCTGAAAGCTTTGGCTGCATACATTAGCACCCAGCTGAAGTGACGCTCAGAGCTGTTCTCACACAGAAACCTGTTAACGAAGGTTTTAAATCAGTTTGCATCACTTCAACGCTCAGATTAATGAGCAGGACGGACAGAAATCAATCTGTTCAAATCAGAAACATCTTTGTTTTGATCTCCTCCTGGCTCTGGTTTACAACCAGCGCCTACATGTTTGGAGTCGTGGGAACGTGTTAGACTCCCCTGGACTCTGCCGGCTCCCCGGGCCCACGTCCCGCTCTCCTGGCTCGGAGCCGCTCGGTCCGGAGGCGGCCGCTCGCTCGTCACTCGATTATCCTCCGAGCCGGCGGCGGCAGCGAGAGGCATAAAGTGGAGCAGAAATCCACACGATTAATTAATCTGCAGGCCTCTGAGGAATCGCAGCGCTCTCCCCTCATTATTTAGATCTAATGTTTAATTAGTTCTTTTAAATTAAAGAACAAATTCTCCCTGTTTTTTTCTTTTCTTTTCAGCTGTGGGTTCATTACGTACGACTGGCTCAAAGTGATGAAATAATTTCTGCTTCTTACAGAAAATGTTTGAAAATTCCTGCTCTGTTGTTCATCATACTTTATATTTTACATTTTTAAAACTTCCTGTTCATGTAGAGCTGAGCTGTCGATGTTCAGAAAACCAGAACCAGGTGTGTGGGTCCTGCAGAAACTGGGTCCTGCAGCTGTTTTTACACCTCAGACTTGATTGAAATTCAGCGTCGCTCCAGAATCATCACCTGAGCTGACACCTGCAGGATCAGATGAAAAATCAGATGGAGTTATTGTCTGTGTTTGTAACAAACAGCTGGATCGAGTGAAGGAGATTTCAAACAGAACAAAGGTTTTTAAGGAGTTTGTTGTCATGATTTTATAAATAAAGTTTGTAAACAAAAGCTACGACAGCTGAAAGTCATAGCACCCATCTCCTAACTGATTTAATCGTTAATGTTAAAAACATCACGGCAGCTCTAACATGTTTATTATTTACAGAAAGTTCTGCACAAGGTTCTGGTTCTAATTGCATCAATCTTTTGGCCCAGGTGCAGGATGTGCTCCGGTGTTGTCAGCAGGTAAGGAGACGGCAGTAATTAGCTGCAGCTGTTAGCTTTAGCTTTAGCTTTAGCTGGCTCCTGGCTGTGGTGCATGCTGGTCTTCTGTAGAAGATGCTTGTTTGTTTGTTTGTTTGTTGTGGGATTTGTTTGGAAGTTAGTTTGAGTTTGTTTTTGATCTAACTAAGAAACTTTTCAGATTCTCACCAAAGAAACAAAAACCTTACACCTTTAAAATCCTCAGTTTGGACCTGAGCGACTCACTTGATTAACCTCTTGAGCCCTGGTACCAAGGGCAAAACAGCATTTCCTGCTTTCTATTTCTTTTTAACTTCTGTTAAGATCTGTCAGTTGAACCTGGACATGTTTGGTATCAGATGAAAGCTAAAAATCCTGGCTAAAGATTCTTATTTACAATATATTTACATTCACCAAACACCAAACGACAGGCAGTTGAATCAGAAAGTAAACATACTGTACAAAGTGGGATTGTTGCAAATCTGTAAATACATTACACTAATCTGTGAATACGTTACAACTAATCTGTGAATACGTTACAACTAATCTGTGAATACGTTACAACTAATCTGTGAATACGTTACAACTAATCTGTGAATACGTTACAACTAATCTGTGAATACGTTACAACTAATCTGTGAATACGTTACAACTAATCTGTGAATACGTTACAACTAATCTGTGAATACGTTACAACTAATCTGTGAATACGTTACAACTAAT